GTGAGTTGATAAGAGGAGACTGGTTATAAGGCTGTTCTACTCTCTCACCCACCTGAAATGCTGGAGTTGATAAGCAGGTAGCAGGTGCCAAAGAGAACTTGCTTCCTCATCCTATACTATTTCACTCACAATGTGGCTCCGTTTTCTTCATGGGCCTGGTTCTGTAGTCTCTTTACATGCAAAGGGACCCAAGTGGCTTGGCTTCATTGGGAACCTTAGAGTGGTAGACTAGACAGCCCAAATTCTGCTTAAGAGTTGTGGTCAAACTGCTGCTGCAGGTCTGCAGGTGATGTCCCCACCCTTCAAGTCAGTTTCCTCATTTTCCAACTTTGTGTCTGGGGTCCTTAAATTTTGCCTTACATCCTTCTCTGTTTCAGAGCTTCATCTCTATAATTTATTTCCTCTCAATTTTGTGATGAGTTTAAATGGAGGTATTTTCCCTTCCCCTTGGCTATTGGCCACAGATTCAGTTCTGGGTCTTTCATGAAATGGCAGCTGGCTTCCCCCAGAGCCAGTGATCCAAGAGAGAGAGGAAAGTGGAAGCCACAATGTCTTTTATGATTTAACATCAGAAGTGACGTATCAGGGGGACCTAGGTGGCTCAGTCAGTTAAATGTCTGCCCTTTGCTCAGGTCATGATCCTGGAGTCTCATATCAGGCTCCCTGCTCAGTGCGGAGCCTGCTTCTCCCTCTCCCTCTGCTCCTCTCCCAGCTCATGCTCTCTCTCTTGCTCTCTGAAATAAAATACTAAAAAAAAGTGATATATCATCACTTCTGCCATATTCTATTGGTCGCAGACCAACCTTGATTCAGTGTGGCAAGGACTTCACTAGGATATAGATACCAGGAGGAAAGGATCATTGGAGGCCATTTCAGATATTGGCTCAGGAGGGTTAGAGGAATGTAGAGAAAGAAAAGGAAGTTTTAGGACTTGGAAGAAGGGAGATGGAGGAGACATTAACCAAATGCCTATTATGGGCCAACCCTTTGGTATCTGTATTAATCTCTTCCACAATGCTAAGGGTTAGAGATTATTCCCATTTTTCATATAAAGGAATTGAAACATGGAGGAAATAAGGGTCTAAAATCAAATCCAGTATGTAGCAGAGTCAGGATTTGTACAAAGTTATATATGGCACCAATGTTGATCTAGTACATTTAGTATGTACCAAAGGGTGGGACATATGGCACTTGTGGTGTGAGAAATAATTTTAGGTAGTATGGAGACATAGCATTAAGTAACACTGAAAATATAAAAATTATTGTTAATCTGTATCAAGAGAAAGTTTTAGTTTCAAAGACATATGCCATATTACCTCTCTAAAGCTTGTTAATTTATCTTTTTAAGAAAGAGAGGGCAGGCCCCAGGCTCAGCATCGTTGACAATGATATTATTTTGGTAGAATTTGATAATATATTTCATTTTCATTGTATTGAATTTTGACTTTGAAAGTTACTTTCTGTTTGTGGTCAGGTGATACCAATTTTAAATTTACTAAAGGATTATGAAGTTTGATTTATAACTTTTATTTAAGTTTGGTACTTTTTTTTTTTTAAGATTTTATTTATTTACTCGTCAGAGAGAGAAAGAGAGAGCACAGGCAGGCAGAGTGGCAGCAGAGGCAGAGGGAGAAGCAGGCTCCCTGCAGAGCAAGGAGCCTGATGTGGGACTCAATCCCAGAACGCTGGGATCACGACCTGAGTGAGCGGAAGGAAGCCGCTTGACCAACTGAGCCACCCAGGCGTCCCATAAGTTTGGTACATTTTAAGTAATAGTAGTTCAAGTGATACTTTGGCTTGGCAAAAACTGTGAGGATGGCACTGAGCTTCATTGCCTTCCCATCAGGTCTATGTTGAGGGGGAAGCTAGTCTGAAGTACCAGACTCAGCTCCGTTTTGCTATGAGCACCAACTGGAGAGAATCACATAATAAAATTTACAAACAGTCCTTTCCTGTGATATTTCCTAAGCATTTCTCCTTTATCCAATGAAATCCTCAGGACTGGTGGGGAGGATTGTAGACAGTGGAGCTGGGGAGGAGAATGAGTTTAATGCCCAGGCTTCCTGCCTTATTCTTTCATAAGCCAGTAGTATACTGGGGAAACGTCCAGAGGGAGAAATGTTCACAGTATGTGCATTTCCCAGTCTCTTAGTCTCTGATCCAACTCCATAGTCTGTGATTTTCGGGTTCTCCAAAATTTCCAAACTATTGTCATCTTCCCATTCAATATTTCTGTGGGAAACGAACAGGACTAAAGTTTTAGGACACACGGATGTGGCTGCTAGTTTCTGTGGGAGGGGTTTGCGGTGAGGGTACAATGTAGTTGGAAGGGGGTTTCTGAAAGTTACGTTTGTACCTGACTTTACCTTATAGGTGAACAACTCGTGTCTACATAGGTGGTTACTGGGGGATAAATCCTGAGTAACAGGGCCAAGTACTGATAATACAGAAGTACCAGAGTCCTGATAATACAGAACAGAGTAAACCATTACGGCCCCCCAAAACCCCGCCCTCCATTCCCTACCGTTCCCCTTGGGCGAGTTTGTCGGCGTCCCAAACGGACCCCGCATGAAATCACTCTGCCAAGTCACGTGCTCGAGCCCGCGGGAACGCCACATCGCCAGCCGCACCCCTCCACCCCCACCCTGCCCACGTGACCCGGCCTACTTTCTCCCCGCCCGACCCAACGCCTAGCTCAGGAAGCCCCGCCCCACGCAGCGCACTCGGCCTGCGAACCTCCGCCCCATATCCGCCCGGGCTGAAGCGTGGCTCGCAGCCCCACGTGTTTCTTTCTGTCCAATGAGAGACTGAGCCCAGGCTCAAAGGGGCGGGGAGGAAAGGACGACTTCGTTACGCTTGGAGAAGGGGGCGGGGCCTGCAACGTCGGACAGAACGAGGGGACGCAACGGAGGCAGGCCGGAGCCGCTGCCGTCGCCATGACCCGTGAGCACTGAGACCCTCTCTTCTTACCCCTTTCTCCCCGTCCACCCTAAACACGACTGCCGAATCTTGGCCGTGACCTCCTCCTGGCTTCCCCAGCAGGGCCTTTCTCTGGAAACGCTTTTTGAGACCCTCACACTCGGCGCCGGAAATCGGCCTTTTGCCCACCGCCACTTCTTGAGAACCCCCTCCCCCTTCTCCCGCTCCAGTCAAGCAAAGGCCCTCCGCGACCTTCCGCGCCGTGGCGAAAAGCCCCGCGCTGGTGATAGGCCCAGAGACCCCTACTCCAGGTCGCAGCCCATCCCCCACAGAGACCCAAACTGTCCACACATCACCACCAGTCTGGAACCCCGTGCCGCCCCGAAACTCGAAACACGCGGGCTCCTCGGAACCGTTGTTCTTCCACCTCCCAGTCTGACCTGCCCCGTGGCAGCTTGCCATCAGCAACCCCCATCCTCCTGCCCCACTCAGTAGGCTAGGCCCCAAAATGGGCCGGTGTCGGGACCGAGGAATAAGCGCTGGACCCTGCTGGTGTCCGGGTGAGGGAGGAGGGTCGCCTGTGTGTGGCCATAAAGGCCCCCTGCGCCTCACCTTTTACCTTCTTTCTTTAGGCGGTAACCAGCGCGAGCTCGCCCGCCAGAAGAATATGAAAAAGCAGAGCGACTCGGTTAAGGGAAAGCGCCGAGATGACGGGCTTTCTGCTGCCGCCCGCAAGCAGAGGTAGCCCCAGGGAGGGGAAGGGAAGGGAGGGGAGGGGTGAGACCTGGGCTAGACCGAGGGTTGTACCAGGAAAGAGAGCTACCTCAGGGTGTACGTCTGGACTAGTGAGGGGCAGAGTGCATTGCTTCCTCTAGAGTTTTGTTTCCTCCCCACCCTCTAAATTGTTAGCTCACAGCCTGACAGGAAGGGACTGGGGCGGGTGCCTGCCCTCGGTTGATTTCTGAGTGCCCCGGAGTCTGACCTTAAGGGCAAGGGCAGGGAGCTTCACATTTCAAATGCAGTAGTGGTTATGACAGCACGGTACTTACGGCCCTCTTTGGTGTTCAGTTTCTCCTCCCTTCTCCCAACCTTCTCAGTGGTGTTGCTGGGTGTGGTACTCAGCAAAGAATAGCCTTGGGCCTGTGTGGCCAGACTTCTGACCCCTTAGGCAACAGCCAGATAGAGACTGATTGCCTTTTAAGCCTCAGCTCTCTTCCTCTTGTTCTCCTAGGGTGGGAATACAGCAGGCACACGCTGAATTTTGTCCCATCCACTTCCATCTTATCCTTTGTGCCCTTCATCCCCCTGCATCTTGTCCTTTTTGCCCTCTGGTACCTCCCAGTGCCCCATCATCTCTACCCCCAGGGACTCGGAGATCATGCAGCAGAAGCAGAAAAAGGCAAACGAGAAGAAGGAGGAACCCAAGTAGCTTTGTGGCTTCGTGTCCAACCCTCTTGCCCTTCGCCTGTGTGCCTGGAGCCAGTCCCACCACGCTCGCGTTTTCTCCTGTAGTGCTCACAGGTCCCAGCACCGATGGCATTCCCTTTGCCCTGAGTCTGCAGCGGGTCCCTTTTGTGCTTCCTTCCCCTCAGGTAGCCTCTCTCCCCCTGGGCCACGCCTGGGGGTGAGGGGGTTACCCCTTCCCAGTGTTTTTTATTCCTGTGGGGCTCACCCCAAAGTATTAAAAGTAGCTTTGTAATTTCTTGAGCGCCTGGTTTGACTGGGGATTTGGGGGGATGGGGATGGAGGAATGGCTGCCCTTTTCCACCAAAAGGGGAGAGAACTTTAGATTCTAAAAGGTTGTAGATATATAGACTAAGTGAAACATCACAGAGGAAATTCTTTATTTTACTACAACAAACAGACAAGTACTCCAAGTATGTGGTAGAGGAATCCTCTAAGAACTTTAGGAACTTCTTTTCTGTGATTTTTGTCCCCCACCCAGACCTTGAACACCATCCCAAGGATGGAGTTGAGGGTCTAAGAAGGAAGGCTTCAAGACCTAAGTTTATGCCCCTCTTTCTCATTCTTCCTCATTTTGCTCGCCTGAAACTTTGCTTGAAAGTTGGCCCCCAAATCCTGCTGCTCACTGACTTCCCACGGTCAGTTGCTCTCTAGTGTTCACATTCTCTTCTGTTCTGTCATTCTTCATGGAATGAGGGTGGTTTTTGTCTTCCCACTTCCTTTGACCTCAAGATCAGGATAAAACCTAGGGTGGTCTCTGTTTCTTTCTTTCTGTGTCCTGGCTTGTTCTGGGCTGCTTATCTCCCTGTGCCCAGGGCTGAACTGCTTGTTTTTCTTTTTATCTCCAAGGGTAGAGCCAAGTAAGTCTTCAGTCCCTGTTGGTCTTTCCCTGCCCCCATCTCCACTGTGAGAGCCAGGAAAGGGCTAGTGCCGCACTGTCTGCTGGGATCAGCAGTGGTTCCTGAGCTGCTGACTTGGGAGTTAGGTTCTTGAGCTGGGGTAAAGATGTAACACTAGCTCCAGTGAGTGAGACACTCTGCCCATGGCATTAGAGTATGTATGGCCACTATCTCCTGTTCAAAAATAGTACTGACTAAAAGGGGAGATAACTGCCCATTGTGTCCTTGAGGTACCTGCTGGGCTGGGCAGTTCCTGAGTCAAGACAGGGAGTATGACCTTAAGGGAACCCCAGTTAACAGTACCTGGACTGAGTATTTGTTACCTTGCAGTACTTATGCGAAGGCCGGGTCCCCTGAATGTAGGAGGTGGCTGGGAGTCCTGGGTGGGGGACCAACAGAGTGGTACCAATAGCAGCCCAAGATAGAGGAGTACACAGGCCCAGCATGAGGCAACCTTGACCCAAAAGGTAGCCCAGCTACCCTTGGTGAAGGTCTTTTCCAGTTCTGCTCCCTCATAGCTGTGAAACCAAAGTCTCTGGTTAGAGAATACATAGGACCTTACCTTTCAGACCTGTCCTACCTCCCCACCAAAGATAATGGTGGACCCATGTGTCACCTGAGAACCCTTAGGACTGGCCTTAAATTGCTCTTCCTAAAACAGGTTTTCAGGAGTATATATATCCCAGGCCCACTTCCATCCTACCTGAACCAGTTGGTAAGGGTAACCATGACATAGAGTGATGCAAGGAAGAAGAGAAAATGGAAGGCAGAATAGCTGTAGGAGAGATGCTGGGCTTGTGCTGGAGGAGCTGGAGAGGTGTCTCGGTCAGCTGGCCTGACAGCCCCACCCCTCTGGCCTGGAGAGAGGGAAGGACTGCTAGCAGCAGTATGGCTGAAACACTTCTTCCCTCCTCCCCCAGTTTCTTTTGTGAAGGCGCTCCAGGGCTCTTTGGCACTCTGCAGAAATCTACACTTTTTTAGGGACATTCTTAATGACACTCACCTTCCTTTGGTTTCACTGTTTCAGGGCAGCAGAAACAGAGTGAGGGCTTCTGTAAAACAAAAGGCAGCATGTTTTGGAATGACTTTTTAAAGAATGTGAGGGTATTAATACAGGAAATTCTGCTTTGAAAAGATTAGTCTGGCGTAAAAAGTGGAGGCACGCCTGGGTTCAAATTCTAGCTCCAGCATATAACTGGCTATGAAAACTTTGGTAAGATGTTTAACCTTTTGTGCCTCAACTTCTCCATTTGTAAAATGGAGCAAATACCTACCTCACAGGGTTGTTGTGAGGATTAAATTAAATGAGATGATGAATGTAAAGTAGCACAGTGCTTAGCACATTGTGGGTACTTAATAAAAGGTAACAGCAGCTAGAATCTGAGCATTCTGGGTAGAGGTTGGTAGGATGTGTGTGTATCTTTGTCTGTGTGTGAGGGGGGAACGGCATTGGGGCTGTTGAGCTCTCCATCCTCACCTGGAACTTGTAGCTGTAAACCTTGACAATCCACAAGGGCCCAAATACCTCAGCCAGGTAGGAAGCCTCATTGCTGAGAAAGAAGAGACAGTTCTCAAGCAGGTCCAGTCAAATAGCAGGAGGATTGCCTGAGCGTATGTACTGTTAGCTGGTCCATATTGGTAATCCTCAGGAGGGTATTCTATTTCAAGAGCCTGTTTCCCCCAAATATTTATAAATCTCATCATGTGAGGGCCCTAAAACCTTTGTACATATTTTTAATTCTCAAGTCATTCTCCCTACCCCCTTCATCTAATACAGATCATCTGACAAGTGCTATTTTTAGAAATTGTTTCTGTTTATGGGGAACTTCCCTCACTCTTGTCTTGCTCTAAAGTTCAAATAAACCATGGTCCCAGACAGTCTCCTGACCATCCTTCTCTGTCCTGGGTATTCTCCCTTCTCTCATACCTCTCCCCTTGATACCTTACGCACCAAGCAAAAAGGACACAAGTATACATGATGCCAGCACTTAGCACTGCCAGATAAGTATCTGGTGTTTGCGATTCCACTTTACTTAGGCCAGGGAGGCACAGAGTGTGATTTTGTCCTTCAAGGAATACTGAGAAGGGGAAACAAGAAAGGTGGTAAGAACAAAGAGCTAAGTATTTGGCAGGAACAAAAAAAGTTTTAACCTGGGGAGTCCAGGTCTGGTCCTTACCATTCTCTGGAGGACGGCTGGACAGTGCAGAGAAAGTCAGGTACATGATATAGCAGCTGATGATAGAGGCTTGTAGAAGGCCAGAACGGGGTTGCCCTGGGGAGAATGGAGATCATTGCTTTTGTCTACAGAGAAGAAGTTTCTTCCACTCAAACCCCAATCTATACTTCTCCCTACCCTTAGGAGGAAGCAGGCAATTGACTAAGATTAGGGAAGCTAATGAATTTTTCTATACTAAAGGCCTTCTAGATTTGGAATGTTGCAAGGCATGTACCCACTGAGGCGTATGCAGGGAGCGATGGAGAGAAAGGAGAGGAGGCCACAGAAACAAAGGTGCAGACTAAGCAGCATCTTGTTGAGTAGGCAGCCAGCTGGGTGTGTGTAGTGGCGGAACAGGAGTGCAGCTGCCACACCTGTCATGCTGTAGAATCCCAGGGTGGCCAGCAGTACCGCCAAGAACCAGCAGCAGTCTTGGGCTGCACCAGTCTGCCTAAGGGTAGGAGGTGGACAGTGGCTTGGGGCTCCAACTCTTCTTGCGCATTACTATTCCCCCTCTTCCAGAACACTGGTGTTACTACCCATCCCACCTAGCCCACAGAGTCATGTTTCTGAACTTTTTGGTACTGCTTAGTGGGAAGTTAGGGACCACTGACCTGTCATGCCTTTTGTTCGACCACACTGGGTTGGACAACCTTCCCAGGTCAGACAACCTTCCCAGGAAGACCCTTTAGGGTTAGGTGCACCTTACCAGTTTTTGTTCCAGGAATGGGCAAAGGCTGTGATAAGCACCAACTGCAGCAGGATGAATGTGAAGCCTCCACAGATGCCAATGTAATGCCAGGCTGCAAGTAGGTGGCACCAGTGGGAAAATGTAGCTGACCATGTCATTACTCCTGTTTTTTTTTCCCTACCCTCACTTTTTCTTAGAACATCTATTAGCTTACGCCTGCTGATTAGGATATGAGATGGAAGGTACCTGGGAAGAGATGCTCATCGGGGATGCAGAAGGCAACAGCACAGAGACCTAGCAGGAACAGCAGTTTGAGGAGCCAGAAGCTGGTTAGGAGACAAAACAAGACTCAAGAAAAGGCAAAGGAGAAAGCAAAACTATAGGAAAGGGGAGAGAAGAGACAACTAAATATAGGAAGGGAGGATCCAGTCCCATGTGAGAGGGTCTGGAAACAGGCCCATCCTAGCCTATTCCAAATTCTCTCAGATACCACGTAATAACATCTGGACAATGTTTCACAGTTGACAAAGGGTTTGCATATAATAACCCCACAATTAGCTTCATTTTAAAAATTAGATGTTCAAAGAGGGTAAGTACATGGGGCTCATGGTCACACAGTAAGTATGGCGGAAGCAGGAACTTAAAGCTTTTTTTGGAGTTTTTACACACTTTATCTTGGAATTTCCTTTACTCAGCTTATGCTTACTTCCCTCCTCATCCTTACCCCACCCAAAGTGTATATACACAAACCTGTTATGGAGCTGTGCCCTCAGGCTGGTGGGGGAATGGAGCTGGACAAGTAGCACGGCCTGCAGCAGGTGGAAGGTGGCAGTTCCTGCACATACTCGGTACACAGCTCCAGAGCCACTGAGCACTGGGCAATGAGGGTGGCCAAACAGATGGGCACACAACCCTGAGGGCATCTGGATCTGGAGGGAGAGTGCATGTGAGAAATGGCAGGGCAAATCATCATGTATAGAGAGGTACCTGTTTCTCATGGGTATATCCATTCACTTGTCCCTTACCCCCAGTCTGAATCTTTTGTCTGAGGGTTTCTTCTTTTTCTCCTTTTCCTGTTGGCAACCCGAACCCTCTCACTTACCCCATGTTCCTTCCCCCAGACCTTTTCCACTACTCTCTTTGACAGCAGGAGGCAGCAGACTGCTGAGGACCCCAGATGGAGGAGGATGTAGAACAGGCGGCTACAAGTAGATTCTGTGACAAGGGGGCACCTAGAATGGCAGCAGCAGGTACAGGGAACAGGCCCACAGCAGGACACCTGGGGGTTGAGCAACAAGATGGAGATTTGCTGAGGAAAAGCTTACATTAATATATGCATTAGATTAACCCATGAGGCTGAATTCCAAAATTTCCCTTTCCCTTTTCTTCTCTCCTTTTACTCAGGAATTATGAGAATCTGGTTCCAAGCTATTTAGGATTGCCTTCCACTGACATCAAGTAGAGCTTTGATCCTAAGAGATGATGCAGGCTTGAGCAGACCTTCCTAAAAGCCTAAGTCACACCTGGCCTCTCACCTTTCTGTAAACCTACAGATCTGGTACTGGGAAGTGGAAGGAGAGGTTTAATGATCCTAGTCTCAGGGGCAAAGAAACGGAAAGGCTTCCGAGGTGAAAGGAATGCCTATCATTTTTATTCGCTCCTGTGGGTTTTCCTCCCCAGCTTCAGTTACCATTCCCTTACATTTTTTTCAGATAGTTCTTGATCAGGGGACCTTTCAAGCCCCTCTGCCCAAGTATACGCTCACCTGATAGAAGGGAGGATTCACCATAATACTGCTGACTTCAGTGCGTTGTGCCAGGCGGAGGGAGGTGCTGGGGCCTGTGACAGCCTTTGCACCCGCCATCCTTGTCCCAGGGATTAGGCCTAGGTCTACCAGATGGAAGGTAGATGAGAAAGTAGCAGCTTTCGTTTGTCCTCCGCCATGGGCTGCCACAGTGATGGGGGTGGTCACCCACTCTAAAGAAGAACGGGGACGGACATCAGGAAAAGAACACCGACCTCCAGGATGTGATGAATGCAAATGTCGATGTAAAGCTACTCTTTCTCCAGGGCCTTTGGGCCACACAGGCTGTTCTCTCCAGATTGGGGAGCAGTTTGCAAATCTGGCCTCTAGTGGATTAGCATTCCTAATTGGTTTAGGTTTAGACGTCATCCTTCCTGGTTGAACGGAATTGGGGGCAGGGGAGGAGGGTTGGGATGGAGTGGGTAGGATCTAGGTGAGAAGGATGTTGGATGGGAAGGTCTGGAGTGGTTAGCTGTGGGAGAGGGCCTTGCAGAAAACACTAAAACCTCCAAAAGTCTGAGAGGCTACCCGCTTTCCTGGCTGAAGTTTCCAGAATCCAGAACATTAGTGAAGGTGTGGCCCGAGGTCAGCCCCGCCTCATCCTCTCCCGGCGGAAGTTTCGGGGAAGCTACCGGAAGTCTTCGTGAGTGGGGCGGGGCCTGTGCAGCGGCACAGTGGGATCGATATGGCTACCGAGGGCGATGTGGAGCTGGAGTTGGAGACGGAGACCAGCGGCCCGGAGCGGCCTCCCGAGAAGCCACGCAAGCATGACAGCGGTGCAGCGGACCTGGAGAGAGTCACCGACTACGCGGAGGAGAAGGAGATCCAGAGTTCCAATCTGGAGACGGTGAGGTTGGCCGTGAGCGTGTCTGGGCGGGCTGAGAGCTGAGGGGCCTCTCAGATTGTAACCGGAATCCTGGCTCCAGGACGGGCTTCCTGTCCGGTTGGCGAGAGGAGTCACGAGGGAAACCGTCACTGGAGCCCGCCGCTTGCGAAAGGGAGCTTGATGGAGATGGTGTTTAAAGTGGCCCTAAGGTGCACAGAATTGAGTTAAACCTAGGCCTTGGTTCCTGATACACTCGTCATGTGAATAGACACACACAACCCGCTGCCCGCTTCTTACACCTTTTTAGATTATTGGGAATTGTGGGTGTCAGAGCGGTAAGGAGATCTGTTTTTCTCATAGGCCATGTCCGTAATTGGAGATAGACGGTCCCGGGAGCAGAAAGCCAAACAGGAGCGGTAAGTCTTCCGTAGGCAGTCAGCCCTACCAGTTCCTCACTTCCCCCCAAACGAAAATAAAAGCTATCGTTAAGTGTTTGTACCTTGTACCGTTCTTCAGCTCTGTCACCGATTTCTATGTGTATGAAGTTTACAACCTTACTTTCTTGTTGGTGGAAGGAAAGGCCTGACAGCACCTGCTGCCTGCTGTAAAGACTAAAGAGGGGAGGGGATGGGGATGTTAGGTGAGGGCGTGAGAGTCATTTTGTATTTTCACTCAGCAGTGTTCGTTGGGAGTCATTTATTTGTAAGGCACAGCTGAGAATGAGAGTTAATGGTGGAGGTAGAGAATGAGGACTAATGTACATGAATATTTGCAGGGAGAAGGAACTGGCCAAAGTCACCATTAAGAAGGAAGATCTGGAGCTGATAGTGAGTAGTAATGCCTACCTAGCCTATGGGCAGAGCTTACATTGGTTAATTGGGGTTGTTTACTGAAACAAGTCGAGTCAGCAAGTCTTGGTGGCATTTTAATGCCCCAGAAGAAACTTAGGTAACATCGTCGATCCTTTTCCTGCAGATGACAGAGATGGAGATCTCAAGAGCAGCTGCAGAACGGAGCTTGAGGGAACACATGGGCAACGTGGTAGAGGCTCTTATTGCCCTGACCAACTGATTTGTGCTTTCTCAGACCCACTCATTGGATTATTTTATTTCAATAAAGATGTAGCCTTTTTTTTCTCTTTTTTTGCAGTTATATCATCTTGGATCGAGTGTTATGTATATTATACTGTATTTTATTGTGGGAAACTTACATGTTGGAATATAACTGAATTTAAGCAACTCCCCTCCAGCCCCAGGCGTTAATGAAATCATGTGAAGGATCAGTCTAGAATGGTACCTCATGACCTCATGTTCACATGTAAATACTGGGAAGCAGGTCAGGGTCATTCATCTGACTAGCCTTCAGTAGTATTTAGGATATATTTGGAATCTCAGCAAGGTTGCTGAAGCCCATGGCATGGGTCTCTAGGGTGGTTTATATACCACCAATCTTGTTCGTAAGACTTTTGAAAAAAAAAAAAAATTTTTTTTTTTAAGAGCACACAGTGGGTGTGTGTCGTGGCTGAACTTGTTTCCCCAACTGTAAAATGATATATACCTGATAGGTTGTTTTAAGAACTGAGGAGTTGGTGAATGTGAAAAGCTTGGCCTAATACCTGCCTCACAGTGGACACTCAGATAGCAGCTATAAATGTGTTCTTAAAAGAATTTCAGTGTTTTATTCTCATTTTGGCTCTAGGATAATTCTTAAATTGTATCCCTCTGGTACACACATGTGACATCTTTATGTGTCAGAGGACAGTGGGAGAAGGAGAAAATCCCAAGCAGGCTCTATCCCCAGTATGGATCCTGACATGGGGCTCAATCTCATGCTTCTGAGATCATGATCTGAGCCAAAATCAAGAGCTGAGTGCTTAACCATCTGAGCCACCCAGACACCCTGTTCATAAGCCCCGTAAGAGTTAGAATTTAGGTACTGAGGTGGAAACATGGTTAAGTTCAAAAAAGATATCAAAGCTTAGGTCTTATGCAGAATTAATCTATGATTTTATTTTTAAAGATTTTATTTATTTGAGATAGAGAGAATGAGAGCGAGCACGAGAAGGGGGAGGGTCAGAGGGAGAAGCAGACTCCCCACTGAACAGGGAGCCCAATGTGGGACTCCAGGATCATGACCCAAGCTAAAGGCAATCACCCAACTGAGCCACCCAGGTGCCCTAATCTATGACTTTAATTTACGAAGTTGATTTAATTGAATTCTGAACTGCCACAACACTATATCTTACATTCCATTTCCTGGAGACAAGACAGTTTTATTTTAAGAGTTGATTATCCTTTGGCCAATTCATCCTTACTGAACTTGTTTCCCCAACTGTAAAATGATATATACCTGATAGGTTGTTTTAAGAACTGAGGAGTTGGTGAATGTGAAAAGCTTGGCCTAATACCTGCCTCAGAGTGGACACTCAGATAGCAGCTATAAACGTGTTCTTAAAAGAATTTCAGTGTTTTATTCTCATTTTGGCTCTAGGATAATTCTTAAATTGTATCCCTCTGGCACACACATATGACGTCTTTATGTGTTTATTACCTCATAGTAATTTATATTCAGATTTTTTAGGACATGAAAGATTTGTGAATGTTTCTTCCAGTGGGGCACTTAAAAGATGGTAAAAAGACCTTGGCCGTCTCATCTCTTTATGTAATTGAGAAAGAGCCTCCCCACTGATGAAATGTCATTCCTTATAACCCCTAGGACCCTAGTGCTCTGCCATGTGCATGGTGGTTATGTAATAAATATTAAGTGCAAAACCACCGAATTTAACTCTAGTTCAATGTCTTTAAATTACAACTTGGAGAACACTATACCCTCCTTGATACATATAAACTGGCTGTTTATATGTAGACATATAAACAAGTAAGTACTTGGTTTTCCCATTTCATGGGTCAACTTTTGTTCTAATACAGCTGTATTTTAGAGAGCAAAGAATACCATACATATATCTGCTCATGGAGTAAATCTGGGTGCCACTTAGAGTACAGACTATCCAGTGTCTTAGTTTGTTTCTAAGATCAAAGGTGACAATCAAAATGCGAAACACTCTTTGCTCAATAATTCTTTGCTGTCTTATTTAATAGGTAGATTCTTGTCAGTCTGCACATTTTATTTCCAGTATCATAAGAAACCTCTTGGTGTAGGGTTTTTTAAGATTATTAGAGGGAGAGAGAGAGAAAGCAGTGGGAATGGCATAAGGAGAGAGAATCCAAAGCCAACTCTGAGCTGAGCAAGGAGCTCAACGTGGGGCTTGATCCCACGACCACAAGATCATGACCTGAGCTGAAACCAAGAGCTGTACGCTTAACCAACTGAACCACCCAGGCACCCTTGGTGTATGATTTTTTTATTTCTTGACACACACACATAAATGGATCAAAAAATATGTTCACCTAGAAAAACTGACTTCAACCAGAAATGCAAAAACAGGTATCTGTGAGCTTAGATTTACTACAAGGTAGCATTGTCCACTTACATGCCCATGTTTCTAACCCAAGCTAAGAGGCTGGAAAAAGAAATCTGGAATAGTCCCAAGTGAATTTGGGAAGGCAGAGTAGTGATGAAATGTAGATTTCTCAGAAATGGTTTTAAGTGGGGAGCCTCTGATCCTACCTGGATAGTGCTTTTCTGTGGGTTTCTCAGGATGAGTCCAAACCTCACAAAGCACCTTCAAAGACTGGGTTGCCCAGTGTCACAAGTATGGCAGTAGGTCCAATAGGCTGGATACAGGGGCCATGTAAATAATGGTAAAAGCAAATCAATGACCAGATGCTGAGACATTGCCTGTGCCTCACAGCTGGAAGTAGTTGAACTCTAAGTAGTTTTCCGCTTCTTGGCAGATGGTCGTTCAAATACATCTCGTACCCCAGCTGCCTTCTGTTTAAAAAACTTTGTGTTCTGGGCACTCTCTTGGCCCCATGCTGAGTCAAAAGAGGTGGTGTCCTGATCCACAAGGTGGGTGTACTTGGTTCGACCAGAGCGCCCAAAGTTCTTGACCTGATCAAGGAAGGATAGATGATGAGTTATACCACCAAACATCAAGTCCTCAATACATAACTTTTCTCTCTCATGTTCTTAAGGTAACCCATACCTGCATGACTTTGGGAAGAATGGTTTTGTTGAAGTGATCCTCCAGGGTAGGTGCACTGAAATCTCTCTTGTATACTTCTTCATCCTCATCCTGTAAAAAGAGTCTTATCAATCTTGTGGTTTTCATTACCCATACATTCAAACCACTAATTTATTAATCTCTACAACAAGGGATACAAAGAATGAGGGTACTAAACCTATTCAAGAGCTTACATCTAGTTGAGGATATGATACTCCTTTCTCTTTGTGTTGTCTTTTTTTTTCTTCCTAAATGTGGATGTTTCCTGAAGGTTGGCTATATTCTCTCTGCACCCAGTATGTTCAGTCATATGATTTCAACTCTGTAGAAGCCTCTCAAATCTCATCCTGAATTTTCTACTGCCCACTATATAGTTAGCTTGGATATTCTGTTGGGACTTCAGACTCACATTTAAAGTGAAAATCATTTCCCTAACCTTTTCAAATTGGCCTCTTTCTGATTTAACTTCTGTTAATAGGGCCAACATTTTCTCAATTACCCAGATTCAGAATTTATGTAAACTTTGTGCATAATGAATTGCCATTTACAAATTCGAATTCCCTGGGTTATTATAGTTTTTCTTAGAATCAACCTTACACACTGCCACTAGACTAATGTTTCTAAAACATACTTTTGTATCTCTGCCTTGCTCAAAAACTTCTGGTGATTGTTTTGTTAAATATGCACAACTCCTCCTCTACAGTAGTCAAGGCCAAATACCATAAAGCTGTAATCTACCTCTCCTTGCCAATTCCCTTTACAGATGATGCTTTTTGCCTCCACTCCTAGTCCCTTCACCTGGAATGTCTTCCTACCTGAACTCAGAAAGGCTACACATCTTAAATGTGCCCTCCTTCATGTTATCTCTCTCCATCTCCTACAAAGTAAAACATCTCCCTCTTCAGAAGTCCCACAGTATTTTCACTCATCCTTATGTCATAGTATAGTATATATGGCCTTAGCCCCAATTTTAGGTTGCAACCCATCTGAGAGTAGTAATTTTATATCCTATAGCAGTGTCAAACAGTAGTACTCTTGGGGCTCCTGGTTGGCTCAGCTGGTAGACCATAAAACTTTTTTTTTAATTTTTTTTTTTAAAAGATTTTATTTATTTATTTGACAGAGATGACAAGCAGGCAGAGAGAGAGAGAGAGGGGAGAAGCAGGCTCCTTGCTGAGCAGAGAACCCGATGTGGGGCTCGATCTCAGGACCCTAAGATCATGACCTAAGCCGAAGGCAGAGGCTTAACCCACTGAGCTACCCAGGCGCCCCCCCCCCCTTTTTTTAAAGAGAGGGAGGGGGAGAGAGTGAGTAGGGAAGGAGAGGGAGAGAGAGAATCCCAAGCAGGATCCACACCCAGAGGACAGCCCAACGTGGGACTTGATCTCACAACGCTGAGATCATGACCTGAGCCGAAATCAAGAATCGGACACTCAAATGACTGAGCCACCCAGGTGCCCCTAGACTATGCAACTCTTAATTTCAGGGTTATGAGTTCAAGTCCCATGTTGGGCTCTGCATGGAGCCCACTTAAAAAATGAGCACCTGGGTACAGAAAGGCTTTAAAGGTAAGAGTTTTTGTGAGATTTACTTTTCTCCTTGTTAGAAGCTGAGTCCCTCATTTAATCTCAGAAGGTATTTTAACTTCATTGTCCTTATATGGATGAGAAGAGTTCATTGAGTATGTGCACTAAAAGACTTTTACATAACTCTTTACTTATGTATCTTAGCTAGCAATGCACTGTTTCTCTCAGAAGCTTATTAAAGCTGCTCAAATGTGTAAGCAATGAAACTTTATGACTTTAAAGCAGTAAAGAAATAATTCAATCTCCAGTGACTCCAGTCTAGAAAACTACATGAGCCAGGACACTACATTATAAGCAAACATTTCTGGCTGAATAGACTGAAATGGATTTTGGAGGGGAGTAAGGAACCTTCCACTGAAGTTTAGATTTTACGGCTATCTACAGTGAAAGGCAGGAATCTAGCTGCAGTAGGGACTTTTAGGGTTTGACAGTACAGCATTTAAAAAAACGAGTCTGCTTTTTGATTCAAACTCACATTGCATCAGGTAATAATTTAACAAACCATATGCTATTACAGTAATATGTGCAATCAATTCTCCGATTCTCTTTCTTGACATCTCTCCATTAACAAGTTATCACTGGTATAATCTAAATAATTTGGAAGAAGTTCTCATCACTTTATACAGGGTTAACAGATTGCTATTTTGACCTTGGTCTTTATATGAAGAACAAAATCTTGATGGTATTATACATAATAGTTAGATAATAAACCATTTTTTTTGGTTAGTCAGGCTTAATCACTTTCTATCAGCTCAGAACGAAGTGAATTAAATTTCTGCCTCCCAAATATTTGCATGAACAGAATTTCTTACTTGGCTATGAATAGTGACCTCTAATTAATTTTAGGGATGTAAATAGTCTTTGTCAATATAATTCACTATCTCTCTTTTTAGTTCCTCAATTCTTCTGTTATACCATTTCCTCCTGAGAGCTGGGGCCAAAAGAGAGAAAAGTTGCTGCTACTTCTAAAATCCTGTTGCCAGTGCTTTTTCCTACTGGGTTTATATTCTTCAGAGGCAAAAAGCAAGTAAGAAAACTGATCATTGGCGAGTAGAAGTAACATCTCAAGACAGTTTATTCTTGGGGGGAGAAAAGAACTCAAAAGTAGTAAGTTATTTCTACAGCCCAACCTTCCCACTCCATTTTCACTTACCATGAAGAAGGCACCCCGGTGATAATACTTCTGTAAGAACTTATATTTGCCCTTAACAGCTTTGTTGGTAATAACTTTGCCATTTGCCCGAAGCTCAGCTCGCCTCTCTTCCTCAGTTAGGTTTCGCATTCGTTCAATTTCTGCCTTCTCCTTCTCAAGCCTGTACAGAGAACAAAACTATTTATTAGTATCATTCCCGCCTCAGAGACACTCAAATTATCTGAACACAATGGAGTCTCATCTCCTTTTAAGCATTATTCACTCTCTTTAATTATACCTATTGCCTGTTAGGAATTAAGATCAGGAGCCCAGGGGTGCCTGGGTGGCTCACTGGGTTAAAGCCTCTGCCTTCGGCTCAGGTCATGATCCCAGGATCCTGAGATCAAGCCCCGCATCGGGCTCTCTGCTCAGCAGGGAGCCTGCTTCCTCCTCTCTCTCTGCTTGCTTCTTTGCCTACTTGTGATCTCTCTGTCAAATAAATAAATAAAATCTTCAAAAAAAAAAAAAAAAAGATCAGGAGCCCAACAAATAAAAAAGGTAAGGTGGTCTTCATTATTGAAAACTTCCAGAAGTTCATTCTAGCCTTTATAAGGTTCAGACATACTATTATGCTTGATTTTGCAATATTAGTAACTCCCCTTCCCTAAAAAGCCTACTTGGCTTTTAAAAAAAATCAGGATTTAACATAACTTTGTTCACATTTTATTGGTATTTTTAAAAAGTAATTGTATATGTACTTAGTATCACAAACCAAGGGTTACCATCATTAATTAGACTGCAGTGACAAACCCTGGGGGGCGGGGGGGTCATAGATCCTCTTTCTCCAGAAAAACACAAATACACGTAATTTTGTATACAATTTTAAAGGGTACATGGACTCCTTCTTGAAACCCAGGATTAAAAATCTTAGAAACTGCAGGCTGAGGACAGCGTTTTCTATTGATGGTTTCCCTTTGTAATCTGGGATTACCCTCTCCTAGTAATTTTCAAGAATGGGTGATGCAGCTCAGAACTGATTCTGCTCTAACAATAGTGACTGTGGCGAATTATTTGAAGGGCCACAAATTCTTCACCTCAGAGTATGCATGCCCCTTTGGCAGAAGTGACATGTGAACCTTAAAAGACCTTGCCAGTTTCCACTTTTGCCCTCTTGGAATACTGTCATGAGATTGTTACATAAGAAAGCCAATCTAGCCCACTGAAGAAGTAAGGCAGTTTAGCATTAACTACTGGACATGTGAATGAAGTGATTTTTGGACACTCTAGCCCAGCCAATCCTCCAGTTGGATGCAACTGCATGGGAGAACCCAGGTGAAACCAGCAGAGGAACTGCTTAGCCACCTCGAAAACTGTGAGGAATAATCAATTGTTCCAAGTGACCAAATTTTGGATTGGGTTTTTATGCAAGAACAGATAACTGATTAATAGTGCATAACGTCTGTGTGTCTACTAGAAAACTACAGGGAGTATCGGCTGATACTCTATCACAGAGAAATACTGACAAAGTGTTTCTTTTCCATGATTTCATTGTAATAAGGCACATTCCAATTATGGAAAACTCACTCAATTGCAGGAACCATAAAGAAAGCTGGAATGGAACTCACAGTCTATGTTGAGCCTCAGAGGTACCCCACCAGGAACCCATCCCATTACTGATATTAAACTCTAGGTCCATCTTATTACTCACGCTTCTCGATCTTCTCTGTCCCTCTTGATTCTCTTTAGCTCCCGAACTTTCCATGCCTCATATTCTTCCTCATCATTTTCATCATCAGTATTGAGAGCATCCAGTGCAGCCAGGGACCGCTTGTTCTCCTCCAGCTCTTTCTTGGTCTCCTCTTCTACAATCTAGGTAAGGAAAACAGTTCACCTATTGGATTTCCTTATTTTCCTCAGACAAGCCTAAGTACACTCTGCCTCGTGTGCAATCGCCAAAGCCACTCCCAGTACCTTGAGTGTGTACTTTCGCCTCTCCTCAGCCATGCGTTTTGCTTCCTGCTCCAGCTCCTTCTGTTTCAATGCTTCAGCCTCACGTTCTTGAACTGTTACTCGGTCCTTCCTGTAGCACGAGAGTCCTGTTAATTGCCCAAAGCCCTTAGAGTGGAGCTCTTTATCCTCTTAACTCAAGTGCCATCCAAATCAGGCAAAGCCCAACAATCGCTGGTTCTATTTTTTCGCAAAGAGTCAAAATTGGGAGTCATCCCAGGTATTCAGAGCATTAAAACTCCATTCATCTTTGAGAACTGCCTGAATAGCAAGAAACTGCTGGACTGTAAGTAGTAGGATTTCTCGTCATTAGGAAGGGATTAGTAATTCTCTCTTCAACTTTCATTTTGTCCTTTATAGGACCATGGGCAGATTATGTGCTCTTTAACTGGAAAGGGAGATGTGAAAACAAACTCAGGCTCTCTGTTAACACCAAGATATTCCACAGCAAATATTCTGCACAGGTAGGGAACTAGGCAGATTTTCACTCAGTGCTGATACTTCAGAAGAGCATGAGATAGAAAAAAAGCTTCTATCCTGAGACCTGGAAAGTAGTAACTATGTGGATTCAGGCCTGGTTTGTGAGATACTTACTTTCGAATGAAGACAGGTTTAAGGCGAGGCTCCATTTCATCTTCACTGTCTGTGTATTCTTCATACTCAGATTCTGATTCTGACTCCTCCCCAGAACGTCCCTCATCTTCCACCTCCATGACTTCCATCTCTTCATTTTTTCTCTCCTGTGCTCGCTGACGCATCATGCCACGGCGTCGCTCTATTTCCTGTCAAGTCACGGGTCCAAATCAGTCAACCCAATGACCTATGTTCTAAGGCAGCTTTTTATTTTCCCTTCATCGCATTTAACAAATTCTGATAGGAGTAAATACAATTTACATCATTTTATTTTCAATTCTATCTCCAACAAATAGGGAACCTTAGATCAGAGTTCTGCCAAAAGCAGCAAGCTTATTGCCTTCGGGAGCTCAACAAAGGAGAACAGCTGCCCAACTTTTTCTTGGGCCTAGAAAGAACTTCCATTTTCCTTTTTTATACCTCATCATCAATTTCTTCTTCTTCTTCTTCACTGCTATCTTCTCGTTCCATGCGCCACGCATCTCCTTCCACTTCTGAGTCACTTTCCCCTACCACTTCAGGTTCCACTATTTTCCGATGTCGAGCCAATCTGAAAAACAGCATCTTCAAGTGTAACACCAGTGTCACAAAATGAGAGAGCATCAACCACATTTCCTTAGTCATAGAGCACCTAGAGGTTATGTTTGCTTTTATTAATACTGAAGCCTGAGGTGCAGATAAAAGAAAACAATTCAAAGTGTCAGAGCAAATAGTCAGGCTGGACCTAAAACCTTAAATGTAAGCTGAGGCATCATGAGGCACTGCAACAAACATATAGGTGCACTGGCATGGTTTTATAGCTCCAAGTAGTTCAGTTTCAACATTAGATCACACTGGGTTTCTTTTCGGCCGACGTCATTATGTTTGTGAAACTGAATTTTGGGGGGCTGTATGAAAAGCAACTACTGCATGCAGATCAATATGGAACAGGAAATGAATGACAGTGCCAATCTGATTCCAAGGTCTGAGAAGTAGACAGTGTTCCAGAGGCACATAGACCTCACTAATAAGTAATTACAGTTATGTAAGAATAAAATAAAAGTGTTTTTTCTTTTATGTGTATTATATTTTTCAAATGGCTTTAAATGTTAGGACATGACTATTTACTGAATTATTTGGATCTAACTACTTAATAAAATAAATAGAACTGTGTAGGTCTAGGAGCTCCCTGAGAAAATTCCCAAGACAATATGAACTGTAAAGTTTGGGATCTCTGGTCTACTTTGTAAGGTAATGTCTCAATCAACCACAACATACCGAATCCTTCACTGGAGGTTCCCTTTACTACCTGAGGCCATTCATTCATCAGGCCCTTTTTCCTGCTTTATTGGTGTCATTCCCCTCATTAGCCTTTAGGAGAAGTGAGTGAATTAAGTCAGCTTCTCAAATTTTAAGACCTCCTCTGCCCCTCAACAATCAACTAATGGTTTGTGTTTTCTATTCCCTTAGTGAATTAATTAGGGTTTTTGAACCAGAGGTAACCTGCTGTTTACTGGCAGCTACTTGCTGTTTGAATACTTTCGATCATGTTATTTTCCTGATCCCTTTGTGCCTCAGCTTCCTCATTTGTAAATTGGGATAATATATACCTCATAAGGTTATTGGGTAGATTATAGAAGAATTAGTAAATGTACTTGGAACAGAGACTGGCACATAATGAGTATTGTGCAAATATTAGCTATTATTGCTCTTGTTATTAACTAACTTGTGGGGGTTTAGGTCCAAGGAAACCTAACACTAGTCATTACCTCTCCTCCACATCTTCACTAATACGGTTCTGCAAACGCCGCAGTCGAGGGTCACTGGATGAATCCTCCTCCTGTTCCTCAGGCTCTGCTTCTTGTTCTTTGGCTTTCTTAATGAACTGAAATTCTTCATCCTCCTCATCTGAGGACTCCATAGGGGCATAGTCTGGCCTCTTTCCTGACACATAGCGTTTTACCTTCACTTTCTCCATCGAAATTTCACCTGGGTGATAAAGATAACTTATTATGTTTCAGTAGCCTCTTTCCCAATGTCTTTCAACCTCTGCCTTTGCAGGTAGAGCCCTATTCCTGGTAAACAAGAGTTCAAGCAGAAGAAGAGAGCCACTATCCAACCATCTATTTGTTCATCTATTGGTGTTTCCAGATAAGACGAAATCACAGGAAAACATTCTTGTGAATACCAACCCTAATGATAAAGAAGGTGAGCCTGAATACAATGACGTGGAGGAAGACAGGCAGTGAAACAACAGAAAAAATTCCCCCCAGACAGGCAGACTACATCCATCACAAATTCATGCTATTCCACCTCAACTATATCCTTAAGGGAATTATTTGTAACAGTGCCCAGCACACAAGGGTGACTTAGGTGGGAACAGAAAATTAAAATGTTGCTCAATCCCTCTTTTAGTTCTTCTGGAATTTTCTATGGCAGCCTTTATATCACCATATAACTCAAGCTTTTAATCTTATCTATTTCTACCTTTTCTTTTAGCTTATGTCCTATCAAACCTCCAAGATTACATCTCTCTCTCTTTTTAAAGATTTTATTTATTTGAGAGAGCGAGCAGGTGAGAGATAGAGAGAGAGAGAGAGAGAGAGAGAGTTACGAGAAGGAGGAGGGGCAGAGGGAGAAGCAGGCTCACTGGTGAGGACCCTGGGATCATGACCTGAGCAGAAGGCTGCTGTTTAACCAACTGAGCCACCCAAGGGCCCCAAGATAACATCTTGTTTACAAATAGTAACAATTCCTGTGAATAAAGTGAAAACTAACCAAAACATTTTATAAGATGAATATAGTTTTGATAACCAAATTGGACAGTTCAAAGGAAAACTTTACATGAATTTCTCTTAATAAACATACATTAAAAAGTACTAAGTAACATAATAGCAAATTTATTCCAGCAATGTAAAAGTAAACAAAATTCTAAGCCATCATGACCTCAAGGGATTTAGCTCAGGACCACAAGGATGGCTTAAGCTTAGAAAATTAATGGGAAAAAACACAATATACTATTTAAAGTTTATATATTAAAAGTCATATAATCTTAACAATAATCATTATGCTTAATGATAAAATATTAGAGGTATTCCTTTAAAAACCAGTAGGCATCTTTATGTTGTCTCTAACACACCTTCTAGTCAACGTTTTATTATGGTTCTAATTAGGACAATAAGAAAAAGAAGAAAGGGGTGTCTGGGTGGCTCAGTCAATTACGCATCTGCCTTTGGCTCAGGTCATGATCTCAGGGTCTGGGATCCAGCCCCGAGTCAGGCTCCCTCTCTTCAGGGAGTCCGCTTCTCTTTCTCCCTTTCCCCCTCCACTCCACTCATTTTGTCTCTCTCTCAAATAAATAAAATCTTAAAAAAAAGAAAAGAAAAAGAGATAAAAGGTAAGGATTAAAAAGGAAGAAGTAACTGTCAAAATTTGCAGACTATGATTATCTATGTAGAAAATACAAGATAACAAAAAGGCAAGCTAAAAAATGAATTCAGGGACAATACTAAATAAATGCTGGATATAAATAAGTGTACCTATGCATTAGCTACATAAATTAGAAAATAAAGTTTAAAAAATACAATTTACAGGGACGCCAGGGTGGCTCAGTTGGTTAAGCGGCTACCTTCGGCTCAGGTCATGATCCCTGGGATCGAGTCCCACATTGGGCTCCTTGCTAAGCAGGGAGCCTGCTTCTCCCTCTGCCTCTGCCTGCCTCTCTGTCTGCCTGTGCTCACTCTCTCTGACAAATAAATAAATAAAATCTTTAAAAAAAATACAATTTACAATAGTAACTAATCTACAAGATACCAAAAATTAAATTCAACAAATAATGTACATGGCTTTTCAGAGGAAAAATATATAATTATATTGGAAGATACAAAAGATCTAAATAAATGGAGAAATATATCATATTCAAGTATGAGAAGATGGCAACTGTGCCCAAGTTAATCAATAAATGCATGACCTATAATTTTAATGCAATTCTGTTAACAGTAGTCCCCAGGCTGATTCGAAAATCACATGGAAGAAAAGGAGGCCAAAAGAACCAAGACCGTTCTGAAGAACCAGCTGAGGCTGAAGACTTTAACATACCTCAGCAAAGAAGATACAAAGGTGGCAAATAAGCATATTTGCTTCAAATTATATGTTGTCAGGGAAATGCAAAATGAGATACTACTGCACATGTATTAGAATAACCAAACTACAGAGCTCTCACAACACAACTGCTGGCGAGAATGTGGACTAACAAGAACTCTAATTTGTTACTGGTGGGAATGCAAAATGGCACAGCCACTTTGGAAGACAGTTTGGTGGTTTCTTATAAAACTAATCATACTCTTACCAAGTGATCCAGCAATTGCACTCCTTGGTATTTACCTACATGTTGAAAACTAATGTCCACACAAAAACTTGCACACTGGTATTTATTTCAGCTTTGTTCATATAACTGCCAAAACTTGGAAGAAACCAAGATGTCCCCTGCTAGGTGAATGAATGAACTACGGTATGTCTACATGATGGAATATTATTCAGTGCTAAACAGAAATGAGCTATCAAGCCGACATAGAGGACACTTACAAACATATTACTAAGTGAAAGAAGCCAATTTGAAAAAGTTATACACTGTACAATTCCAAATACATGACATTCTAGAAAAGGGAAAACTATGGAGACAGTAAAAAGACAGGTGGTTGCCAAGAGTTGGCTTGGGGGTGGGATGAATAGGCAGGGCACAGAGTATTCTCAGGGCAATGAAAATACTGTGTGTGATACTGTTGTAATGGATGTATGTCATTATACATTTGTCTAAATCCACAGAATACACAATACCAAGAGTGAACCTTAATGTAATCTTTGAGTGATTACGATGTGTTAATGTAGGCTCATCAAATGCAACACATGTATCACTCTGGTGGGGGATGTTGATAATGGAGGAGGCTATGCATGTGTGGGGGCAGAAGATATATGGGAATTGTGAACCTAAAACTGATCTAAAAAATAAAGTCTCTGGGCACTTGGGTGGTTCAGTTGATTAAGAGTCTACCTTCAGCTCAGGTCATGATCTCAGGGTCCTGGGATCTAGCATCGGTCTTCCTGCTCAGCAGGGAGTCAGCTTCTTCCCCTCCCTCTTGCTCAAATAAATAAATTAAAATCTTGGGGCACCTGCGTGGCTCAGTCAGTTAAGCATCTGCCGTTGGCTTAAGTCATGATCCCAGGGTCCTGCTGCTTCCCCTGCTTGTGCCCTCCCTCTGTCAAATGAATAAATAAAATCTTAAATAAAAAAACAACAAAGCAGTGGAGAATGGATGGGCTAGTCAAACAATGGAACAGTAGGGGCAGTTGGTTAACCATAAGGTAAACAGTAAAATTAGATCTCTGACACCACACACACACCCACAAAATTCCAGATGGATTAAAGACCCATCTGTGATAAACACATCTTAAACAATTACATCCCTACTGGATTATAAGCTCCTTAAATTAGATCTGTCTTGCACAGTTGTATATTCAATCCTGTTTCGTATACACAAATACTTAAGATGACAGAAAGTAATTATAATGTGAGTATCTATGATCTCAGTACAGGGAAGGATTTCTTACAAAATATATACAACAGCACAAGCTATTAAAGATAAAATTGATAAATCTGATAACACTAAAATTAAAAATGCCTATGAAACAAAAGTGCCTATTAAACAGAATTTAACTCCAAATTAAAGTGAAAAGACAAGTCAAAAAAAACCAAGACAAAATAGGAAAAAGATATGACAGATTTAGGATGAAGAAAAATTAAGTATAAAATGGGTAAATGACAAAAACAGGTAATTCAGAGAAGAGAAAAACTAAAGAGCTGATAAATGCATGAAAATTCTTGTATCACTAGTAATCAGGGAAATGCAAATTAAAATGAGATATTTCATAATTAGATTGGGCAAAATTTAAAAATCTGATACAACCCAAGTATACAGATGAATATATGGGAAAATACAAACTCTCAATGCTCTCACAACGCATTGTGGAGAGCAAGTGGAAATAGCTATTTAGGTTGATGATGAACTTTTAGGAGTCTACCCCAGAGAAATTCTTACACAGTGCACTGAAGAGACACGTTTAAGAATGACAACTACAGTGCGTGTCTTGCTAGCTCAGTTGGTGGACCATGTGTCTTGATCTCGGGGTCATGAGTTTGAGACCCATGTCTGGGGTAAAGATTACTTTAAAAAAAAAAAAAAAAGGACAACTATACTGTTTATAATAGGAAAAAAAAACCCCACAACAACTTACTGTTCTTTAGTAAGGAATAAACTGTAGTTTAATTATACAATGGAATTTGTAAGTAGTTAAAATGAATGAATTAGCTCTGTATGTATAAAAGGATATCAAAAGCCACTTTGAATTTAAGGAAAAAGGCAAGTTGCACAAGAATAGGTACAGTATATTAAAAAAAAACAAACCTCAATTATTTTCCAAATTCCTTCCTGTAAAAGGGACTCTTTAGTCTACCCCTTCCACCCCCCCCCCCCCCAAGAGTGGACACTCAGATAGCAGCTATAAACGTGTTCTTAAAAGAATTTCAGTGTTTTATTCTCATTTTGGCTCTAGGATAATTCTTAAATTGTATCCCTCTGGCACACACATATGACGTCTTTATGTGTTTATTACCTCATAGTAATTTATATTCAGATTTTTTAGGACATGAAAGATTTGTGAATGTTTCTTCCAGTGGGGCACTTAAAAGATGGTAAAAAGACCTTGGCCGTCTCATCTCTTTATGTAATTGAGAAAGAGCCTCCCCACTGATGAAATGTCATTCCTTATAACCCCTAGGACCCTAGTGCTCTGCCATGTGCATGGTGGTTATGTAATAAATATTAAGTGCAAAACCACCGAATTTAACTCTAGTTCAATGTCTTTAAATTACAACTTGGAGAACACTATACCCTCCTTGATACATATAAACTGGCTGTTTATATGTAGACATATAAACAAGTAAGTACTTGGTTTTCCCATTTCATGGGTCAACTTTTGTTCTAATACAGCTGTATTTTAGAGAGCAAAGAATACCATACATATATCTGCTCATGGAGTAAATCTGGGTGCCACTTAGAGTACAGACTATCCAGTGTCTTAGTTTGTTTCTAAGATCAAAGGTGACAATCAAAATGCGAAACACTCTTTGCTCAATAATTCTTTGCTGTCTTATTTAATAGGTAGATTCTTGTCAGTCTGCACATTTTATTTCCAGTATCATAAGAAACCTCTTGGTGTAGGGTTTTTTAAGATTATTAGAGGGAGAGAGAGAGAAAGCAGTGGGAATGGCATAAGGAGAGAGAATCCAAAGCCAACTCTGAGCTGAGCAAGGAGCTCAACGTGGGGCTTGATCCCACGACCACAAGATCATGACCTGAGCTGAAACCAAGAGCTGTACGCTTAACCAACTGAACCACCCAGGCACCCTT